ACTGCATACATCTTGATAGCTGTTTTCCTTTTTTCCTGCAGGATATGCCTTGACCAAACAGATCTTTGAGCATGAACGTGGGCTGTTAGCATTTCCGCACACCTCTGTACACTTCAAGGTGAAGGAAGAAGATACACTGTCGCTTTGTTCATTGCTCTCCTCTTTATCAATCATAAAACTCTCTGTGGTCGAGGGAGGAGGACCTGGATGCAGGGCTGCAATGTGTTTTTCACTGTTGCACTCAAAGCACTTCACTGTTGTTTTGCAGTCTCTTGCTCTCTGTCAGGTCGACCCACAACATCTGTAGCATATGCAGTTATCTCTCAGGTATAATTTATAATTTTCTCTCTTCTATAGACTTGCATCTGAAGCTTCGGCTCTTCTTGAGTTGGTGTGGCTTCTCATGTATCGGACACTGACGCTCTGGGTCATCAACCTTCTTCTCAGCAGGACCCCCTTGATTGTCCGAGGTGTCTGTAGGAACATCTGTTTTGTGCACACTCACCGAGGTTTTGTTGCTGTACTTCTCAGGCTCCTCCGTTTTGGAAGGAGCATGACTGCTTGAGGTGGTGAAAGTGAAGCATGGATAATTTCTGATCTTCGCCTGACGTCGTACAAACGAAGAGAAGACAGAGAAAGGGGGAAATGCCACTGCGTGGTCCTCCTTATAATTGGATCCATGAGCTATCCATCTTTCTTGAAGGTTAAAGGGGAGCTTCTCTACTATTGGGTTTACTCCACGAGCCGTATCCAAGTATGAGAGGCCTGTCAGATACCCTTCTTCCTTAGCACACTCCAGTTCAAGGATGTCACCTATTTCTCAAAGCTTAACGTTGTCTTTGTTAGTTAGCTTTGGGAAGTCTTCAATCCTCTTGAGCAGAGTGTCCTCAATGACTTCTGAGGCCTCTGAGAGTAAGTCTTGGATGGAGAGACCTTGCTTGGTTCTCTAACAAACTTAGTGTCTCCCAAATGTTTGTGACTTTGGTGAATAGCTGGCTCTGTTGTTGGATATAATCAGTTGTACGCTCAATTGGGCTGAGAGGCTTATCTAGCACAGGGGTTCCCAGACTATTCTGCCCGCGACCCCCAAAATAGCGACCCCAGAAATAGCGTCCCCCTGTCGACGGGGGGACGGGGG